TTTAAATTCACGGGAGTGAGAAGAGGTAAAACCTTTACGTGTAATATCTTGATTTTTATCCGATTGACCTTTTACATTTTTAAAATATCTAGATCCAACATTAGGTAGGTTATATTAATTTTCTTTAGATTATCATCCAAAAATCAGCAGATAAAAAAAATATTGAACTTTCACCTATTTTTTAAATTCACGGGAGTGTAAAGAGTGGAAAACTTTGCAATATCTTGATTTTTATGTGATTGACCTATTAAATTTTTTAAAATATACAGGTATATTATATTAATTTTCCAATGGGTGTGGAACTCTAGAGTATTACCCAAAAATCAGCAGATGGAAAAAGTATTGGAAAATTCTTTTAGCCTTATCCTTAATGTGGAAATCGAACATAGATCAAGATCCAGTAGTTGCCTATATATATAAGAATCAACTTTTCACAATCTCTGAGCACAACCATTTGACTGTTGCATACCTTGTCTCAAGTTGAGCATACCCACTTGACGCACTGCTAACGAGTACAGGGTATATGTATTAAAACTGCTGATCGGCGCGTTGCATGCGGCAAGCCGCAACCAGACGTTGTTGATGATCCAATCGAGTGCGATTCGAATGCGCATGGAAATGATTTAATCAATTGGTCGATTTTCTTGCACAGCGCAGAGAAATCTCTCAATTAGTGGCAAATGCGCAGCTCAAATGGGTTCAATTGTTGCCCCCCTCCCGAAAGGCGTTATGTGGCAACATGGGGGGGCGTGGCCGTGCGACTCGAACCCGGACGAAGGCGTGGCGCGTGCGCCAGTTCCAACAGTTTCCACATTTTGCATTAATTGATTAATAACAATTTGCATTCAAGTTCAAAGCCATTAAAAGACATAAACAAAATAATAAATAAATTCTTAAGCCTGTAAATAAACGTTTAATCTGGCCACGCCCCCCCCCCCCCCCCCTTCTCTACTCTGGTCGTGTATGGAGAATACATTCTTGATTAACTCGGGTTTTTATGGCAAGATCTTAATGAAATTTTCTGGGCTTAAATATGGCATAAAAATGTGTCTGTATACCAAAGCCCGAGACTTTAGCTCTTAAAATGCGTTTATTTTCGATTTTTAGCAGAACTAGTGGGCGGATCAAAAAAGTAACATAATCTGGATTTATGTATAGTCCAATATTTCCTACATTCCATGTTTGGCTTCTCTAGCTCTTATAATCCTCGAGATATGTTCGAAAAAAAGAAATTCCACATCGATTTTTATCGATTTCTTAGCAACGAGCGAGTTATCATTGATGTTAGGTAACTTTTATCCTTTTGTAGACTCTCAAGAATCTATGTTCGAAATTTCAAGGCGCTAGCTATTAAAGTTCCCGAGATCGAAGGGTTTATAAGTTCGGATAGATGGGCGGAAGAGGATAGATCAATACTAGACAATACTTTTTGGGTCAAGGAAATCTACTTCTGTCTCTTTCATACACTTTCCTTTAAGCATTACGTCTCTTAAATTAAAATTTTATGATATTTAGTTGAAATTGTTTCAGATATCCAAGAAGTTTATTGAAATTATAATAACTGGAGATGTCAAAAGGTTTCTAAAAAAAACGTTGTGAGTATCTTATATGAGAATATATATTTCAACATTCAAGTTTCCGGGCTTTGATAAGTTCATACAGGCTAGATATATACAGGAATATATATACAGGAGATGAATCCATCTGCCTGTTATGTAAGTATGCATATAAACAGTATTCCACTTTTTAGTCCAAGGTCAGGGCATACAAATATTACAATTATAAGTTAAGATCTTGAATTAAAAATTGGGTAGCATTTGGAGAACCAGTATAAAAAACACAGCTGAATTTAACCCAGTTCTTTTTTTAATAAAATCTTGTTAAAATTAATAAAACGTTTTACAATTTGGAAAGGTTACCCATAAGGTTCCTTGTGCATATAACAGACCGAACCTTAACCTATTTAGTCTGAACCAAAAGGAAGCATTAATGAGATTTGCCAAAACAAATGCCAACTCTTAATAAACAAAATAAACATTTTTCAAAGAAATGTTATCTTTAAACAAACAAAAATGTTTAAAATTAACAAATTGCTGGCTCGAACTTAATTCTGGGTGCTTGGATGTGGCATATCGAGGTTCACGCAACGAACCCAACGATCTGGAAAGGGTTCGCCGCAAAGCCCATCAAGTTTTTGTTTTATGAATTTTATAAATTCAAATCAAGTACATTTAATAGTTAACTTTAATTCTGACGCCTGTCACTGGACACATTTGGCAGTGTTTTTGTTTTTGTTGTCGTTGTTAAGCTTCCTTTTCGCCTCCTCCACGTGCTCCAATTGCTCATCTGCCTGCTCCTGCTCAGCCTCGTCTTCGCTTAGCTCCAGTTGACGCAGCGCTGCGGCCGCCTCGCGATCCTGCTGCGACTTCTCCCAGGCCAGCTCGAAGGGATATTCGAGCGGCTTCAGCTCATCGGGGCACTCCAGCTGATTGGGCACCGTCGCCTGGCTGATGGAGGCGCCACGCGTATGTATGCGCTCCAGCATGGCGGCATTGTGCGTTTCGGCATTCAACGCGGTTATGAACTCAAATAGCTGCTCCTTGGTGTAGATGTTGGGCAGGCCGCGCCGTTCGAAGAACTGCACAATATTGGCGCAGTCGCGCATGAGAAACTCCAAGCCGCTGGGATGTTCCGGCTCCACGCTCTGCGCGACATCTATGAACCAGCACTTGCCCTCATACCAGAGTATATTGTATTCGCTGAGATCGGCGTGCACCAGCTTCGCCTCGTTATAGAGCTTGTGCATGGCGGCAACGATTTCCTCGTAGGCGCAGCTCAGCTCGGCGGCATTCAGGCGGGCATCCTTCAGCTTGGGCGCCGCATTGTGATTGTCGCCAATGAAACGCATGACCAGGACATGCTTCTTCAGCACCACCACATCGGGCACATTCAGTCCAATGCTCTGCATGCGCATCAGATTATGCATCTCCTTCTCCGCCCACATATTGATGATGACGCGATGATTCTGCTTGCTGAAACGATCCTTAAAACGATAATCGTCCTTGATGTAGCGATCACGCTGCTTGAACTCATTCAGCGTCGTCTTGAACACCTTGATGGCGCACTCCTTGGGCAACAGTTCGGCCGGCATGAGCACCCCGTTGCCATGTCCATGCTCATTGGTGCCCGTGTAGCTGGCGTCGGAATTGGCATGCAGTATGACCGCCTCCTTGCCGGTGGATATAATGCCATTGATTTGCTCCAGTATCTGATTGTTGATCAGCTTGTAGAGCAGCAGACGCGTGGCCGCATCCACGCCCATCTCAGCTGTGGCCACCTTCTCCTTGCGATCGGCGCGTCCACGCCGCGAATAAGCCTTCAGCTGATTGAAGACCTGCTCGAAGAGTTTCATTTAATTAGCTCACGTTAATATTAATTTGTAACCATTTAACCTTGTTGGACAGTTTCATGTCGAAGCAGGCGCCATCGCCGGTGGGAAACTCTGGGGGAAAGGACATCACACGCTGTGCATTGCGCACGCCGCACAGCTGTGGATCATGCTTGGTTATCATTTCGCCCTCTTTGTCCAGCTTAAAGCCACACTTGGGTATGGCATCGAGCATCTTTTCATTCGTCTCAAAGCGATCCCAGTCGTGCTTGCGATGCGCCAGCTCATCCTCCTCGTAGTCCTCGTCCGCTTCGGTGTCGTGCAGAAATTCCGCATCGCCGCTGCGCAGATATTTGTTCAGTGTGACGGTCACCTTGGACTGTTTGTTCTGCTGCCGTTCGATGCGACGCAGCTCCTCGTTGTACTCGTGATCGAACTGAGATTGCAGCATTCGCGCTATAACCGCATCCGATTCAGCCTCATCCTGCAGCAGTTTCAGGATATCGCCTGGCAGCTGCTCCTTCTGCTGTTGCCCCTCTTCGAGATTTAGGAGCATGGAGTAATCCTCCCAGGCGCCAGCATCGCTGCTGCTGGCACTTGCTGATGTTTCCGCTACATTCGAGTAGCTGGGCGTGGCCGTGGGCGTGGCCACGGGCTGCATCTGTTTCTCTTGCCTTAGCTGTTGTTCCTTGAGCTCCTTGTCGTGCAGGCGATGCGCATATTGCTCGGACATGATGTCCGCCAAATTGGCTGTCTGCACGGGCTCAGCGCTTACCTTGGACCAGGGCGACGACATGCTATTAGGCAATAATACTAAAAAACAGATTACTGTTAAAATTCACTTGAATTTCAAAAAATACACAAAACAAACTTTTCTTTATTTGGCTGTCCGAGCTCGTTTTCCTTTTCCTGCTGCTTACTGTAATTTGTTGACGATCTGACCAAGTTGCCTGCTTGGCCGTGTTTTATGCTTTGTCAGAAATTGCCAATTGTATTGAAATTATTTATTAATTTCTTTTGCTGGCGACCAAAAAACTTTGTTTTGCTCAGTTGTGAAATTGGCAAAGCACATTTCACACACACACACACACACACGTGAAAGCTCTGTTAGGCGGTGGAGTAATTCTGTTAAGTGAGTCGCAGGGTAAGTGCAATTACAGAGATACTGTTGTCATATAGCTTACAGATGGGCAAGTGTCGGGTTTATTTCACATGCAAATTAATTCTAATTTTAATAATAATAAACATTTGATTAGTTGAAATTTATAAGCTTGCTTATTATTTTATTTATTAAAGCTACTGATATTTGAATATGTATCACGAGCACGTCGTGTTGTTGCGTGCGTGTTCGTGTCACGAAAAAAGCCACAAGCGTTCAACTCATACTTTGTAAACAGACTTTGACATGACATTGTGCTCTCCTCTGATTTATATTTAGTCTTTATACAGTCTTTATGCAAACAAATTGTGAAAATTACGGCAATTGCCGAAATTTCGTGACTGAATGTTAACAGTGCCGCTCGATTGTGTCAACTATCTGGCAACGCCAAACAAGCAATATCGTGGTGCTATCGATGTTGGAATTTCAGTGCAAAGTGAAATACGCAAAAGTATCGATGTCGTCGATACTTTTTGTTGTACTTGTACATTTTTCGCCAAAAATAATAATAAAAGTGAAAAGTTAATGTATTTTTGTTGTACAAATACAAAGAAAATGTTGTTGAATTGATTGGCAATTTCGCCATAAAAACGGCCGTAATAATACACAAGTGCAATACGTGGAAACGCTGGTAAGGGCTTGGAATAAAAACGCGCAGCAAACGCAGCACACAAAAAAAAAAGAAAAAAATCAAAATAGAATTCCGAATTTAGAATATGACAGTGACGGACCGAAAAATTTTTCGATTCGAACGCATTGCCTGTCCCCCCATAAGTGTGTGACTGTGTGTTGGTGTGTGTGTGTGAACGGAGGGGGGTGGACGTGGGGGTCAAACTTGGGGGAACACAACCAGAAGCAGAGAAACACAGAAACAGAGATCGGTAGCAGCAGCAGCAGCAGCCGCCGCAGCAGCGGCAGCGCCAACTGATTTCCGATTTCGTTTCGTTTTGCGCGCGAGGCGAGAGCCGCTGCCGCCGCCGCCGCTGGGCTCGTCAAATTTCTGATTTTCTGTGCTAATTTACGCTTAATTTGCGCCGCCTTTTGCTATTTGCTTTTGCTTTTGCACTCTGCTGTGTGTGTTTTTTCTACTAGTATTATGCTTCACACTTGCTGCAACAGGACAGCGCGCTTTTTTTTTTTATTTTTACAAGCAGCGCTGCCGCAGCCGCCGCCGCCGTCACCGCTTTTGTTATCTCGCCGCAACGCAGCTTTCTTCTTCGCCTTTTCGCTGCGCCTGGCGCAATACATCTTTAAGCACGTAGTCTCTGCCAAGGCATGAAAAAGGAAGCTACTTTTGCATGCTAAGGGCTCGAAATACTCAACAGAGTTGCCAGACAGAAAGATTTTGTTAGGTTATGTATTTCGTATTGTCCTGATCCTCGAGCATAGCGTATATATTGAATGTTCAATTTCCGTAGCTTTGGTACAGTAGTCGCCCGCTAATTTGAACTTTCAGAAAATTTAGATCATATATTTATTTAAAATCTGTTTCGAATGTTCTACATTAAAAAGCATTTAAGAACGCAAAATATTTCGCAATATTCAGGATTAAAGGATTTTAATGGTAGTACTGGCAGTTCTTCTAGACGGGCGACCACTGTATGTGTACAGTCATGCTGCTAATGAAATAAACACCTGAAATTAATCATTACTCTGACATTACTTCTCAGGTATTGCTAGCATGTTGAGCAGAAGAAACCAATTCAATGAGCATTATTTTTGTGGCTTGCCTTGGGCCACGCCTAACGAACTAATAAAACAATCAAACCAAATCAAATGCTGAGTTTTTGCCTGAAAAAAAGAATGCATCATTACAGAACTGGTGCTGCTGGAAATAAGCCGCTTACTAAACTGAACTAAAACAAAAACCAAAAGCAATTAGAGAAACTAAGCCCGCTGCCTGCCCGCTCGCCCGCTCGCTCGCCCGCCCGAACTGCCTGCCTGCCTGCCCAGCCTGAAGAAAGAAATGTTAAAGTCTAGCACAAACCCACAGGAATTGCGTCTGCCACGCCCCGAGGAGCACCAGCCACAGCCCACGCATCAAGTTGCCGCCGTGATAGCCAACAATATAACGTCTGCATCAGCCGCAGCAGCAGCCGCAGCAGCCGCAGCAGCAGCAGCAGCAGTAGGAGGAGCAGGATCCGGCCACAGCATGGACACGCTTAAGACAACGTTTCTGCCCAATCTCAGCATGGACCCGAACGTGATCAGTCCGCCCTACTGCCCAATGTGCCATCAGCAGTTCGAGCGCACCCAGCACGCCGCCGAGCACATGCAGCTCTGCCATGGCATCACACTCAACGCACAGCCCGGCGGCATACCCAGTCTCGAGCAGCAGCAGCAGCAGCAGCAGCTGAAGCCGCTCAGTTTTGCGTGTTCCAACTGTGATGATAAGTTTGGTAGCCCGCTGGAGGTGGACGAGCACCATCGGCTGACGCATCAGACCGTCTTTTTGGCGCGCTGCATCGTTTGCAGCATTTATGGCGTCAATTCTGTTACACAGAATCCCAACGAATACAAATGCTCTCACTGTGGTGCCGTCTGCAATGCGGCCATGCTGGCCGCCGGTCAGCAAACGTTTATGGAGCATCAGGAGGCGCCGGTGACGCCGGACGATCTGCCAGCCATGGCGCCGCGTGATATGAGACTGACGCCCGAGGAGCAGCAACACCAGCAGCAGCAGCAGCAGCAGCAGCAGCAACAACAACAGCAACAACAACAACAGCAACAACAACAACAACAACAACAGCAGCAGCAACAACAACAGCAGCTGCAACAGGAGCAACAATTGCAACAGCAGCATCAGCAGGAGCATCATCACCAGCAACTCGAACAACAGCAGCAGCAGCAACAGGAGCAGCAGCGACAACGTGAACTCCAGGAGCAACAGCATCAGGAAGACTTGAACGATCCGGCAACGCCCAAGGTGCCGCCGCTAACGGTAAAACTACTGAAGAACGGCAACGGCGCAACGGTAACACATCCCCAGGTAAGATTCGGGCGCCAAAACCAAGTCAAGCATTTCCAGAAGACACGCAGCAAACAATTTGCCGGACAAAATAATCATTTTTCGATTTATCCAAATATTTTATATAGAAGTCGGACGTGGATAAGGCTTAGCTTATGTGTTAGGAGCTTGAGATATCTTGAAAAGCATGTGATCTGATAAGGACTATATATACTTTATGGCTTCGGAGATGTCGCCTTGTTTGCGTTTCACATTTCATAAGAAAGTCTATAAAAACTGGAAGCAAATGGAAAAGTCGGTCTTGAGCAGATGTCCTTTAGTAGAGCTGCTCAGATCTGAAATATATATACTTTATGGATTTGCAGATCAGAGATAGGTTCAGATTTCATAAGAAAGTGTATAAAAACTGGAAGGAAATGCAAAATTAACTCTTAAGAAGATGTCCTTTTGTAGAGCTCTCGCTAGTTCATCTAATTTATTATTGTAATCAGGTCGAAAGATCTGTTCATAGTATTGTATTCGGGCCAAGAGATCTCTTGTTAATGTTGTATTCCAATTTAATTGTTGTTGAAAACAAAAATTTCTAATGTGAGATAACTCTGTAGGTCTGAGAACTTAAAAGAGAAAACATTTAACAGAAATTAATTAAAAAATAACAAACATTTTCTATGCTGCCAATTGAGATTAACTATGATTGCACAGTATTCAGGTTAAGAGATCTCTTTGTATTGTTGTATTCCAATTTAATTGTTGTGGATAACGAAAATTTGGAATGTAGTTTATATCTCTTTAAAGTAGAGAATTTGACAGCTCCTGCTAGTTCATGTAATTTACTATCAGATGTGATGAGAGATATCTCTGTAAGGAAACGCTTAACAGAAAGTGAATAGAAAAGAACAAACATTTCCTATGAGATTGGATATCAGTTAGGAGTTAAAGTAAAAGGTATATTTCTGTGCAATTCTGGAAATGCTCTCATTATTTAATATGCCCACAATATACTCCTATTCATATGCACTATCGATTGCAGGTCATCATCAAGGAGGAGCCACTCAGTTTGAGCGACAGCGGCGATGTGGTCAATGCGGTGCCTGTCTATGCCATACAAGCGAATCCTGGCGTCCAGCCGGCGGGCACACCTGGTGCCGGTGCGACCAGCGTGCTGGTTAGCACGCAATCGGTGCCCGCGGATCTGGCGCATAAGATCCGGCATAAATGTCCCGATTGCCCCAAAACGTTTAAGACGCCCGGCACGCTGGCCATGCACCGCAAGATACACACGGGCGAAGCAGAGTAAATTCCACATTTATATAGATACCCTATAAAAATATATACACGCACACGCAAAACAGATGCTGCACCTGGACTCAAAGGGTGCTCAACTCTTTTTGGGCTCAACTGTTGAGTAACCGTTTGCAGCATCTAGTTGACATTTTTGAACAATTACCAATTTACCGATTTACCGTTAACCATTTATTTACATACACACACATATATATATATATATTTTTGTTTGTTTTCCTTAAGATCAGTCCCGAGGCTGAGCGCATGGGCGCGTCCGTCAAGTGCCATGGGGCGTGGCCCGTGCGCTCCAAGCGTTGTTCTTGTTATTGTGTCCAATCTCTCTCTCTCTCTGAATCTCTGACTCTCTCTCTGTTTAAGTGTGCAATGAATATTACTGGAATTACGAATGTTACTAATCAAATTATTCTCATCTTTTTCTCTCTCTCTCTCGTTCTTTTTTTTTTCTATTTTTTTTTTATACCCCGCACCGCAAATACTCAATCAAAAAAAAATATGAAAAAAAAAAAATTGTAAAAAAAAAAAAACAGCGCCACGCCCAAAGAACGCCCCTACACGTGCTCCTACTGCGGCAAGTCCTTCACTCAATCGAATACACTAAAACAGCACACTCGCATACATACAGGTGAGAAACCATTTAGATGTGGCTATTGTGGCAGGGCGTTCACTGTTAAGGATTACCTGAACAAACATTTAACGACTCACACGGGTGAGAAGCAATATATTTTCAAATCAAATCAATTCAGTCAGTCAATCAATCAATCAATCAATCAACTCTCAAATCAACTCAGTCAATCAATCAATCAATCAATCAAACTCAACTCGACTCGTTCAAGTGCAAATACACCAAAAAAAAAAAACAAAAAAAAAAAACTATACAAATTATTCGAAATAAAAAAAAATATATTATATATATTTATCTTAATAAACTCTGATGCAAATTGCCTTCATATCCATTTGTCATACCAAATACTTAATATTCAATATACTCAGTACTCGATACTCTCTCGCTCTCTGTATCTCTCACACATATACGCACACACACACACACACACACACACACAGCGAAGAGCATGGCAAAGCGTAGACCACATGATCCACAAAATGTACAGTTGCGATCATTGGCGCTAAGTTGTGGAACACAAATTGTTGAAAGAAAACTTATTTCGATTTAATTTTGATTCAGTTTTGCCTTGGTCTTCGTCTGCGCACAATTTTAATTAAATTCAAAATTCAATAACTGATAAATAAAGAAATAACCAAAAATCTAAAGTTTTAGCTGCTTGCAGAAGATTTGAAAACTATGTTTGAAGAGAGTTTTTTTTAAATATATTATAAATGCAATTGATAAATGAAGAGATTTAAAGTAATATGTTTTATATTATAATCCTTTATAAACTCCAATTTAAGATTTGAAATGAAGAGGATATAAACCACAAGATAATTTTAATAATAAAAATATAATAAAATATAATTTAATCGAATACGTATTACATAAAATGGGATTTCACTTTAATCCTAAATTCTATAGACTATTTTTAAGATTTCGAATATGAAAAAAAAGGATTTTAAAGATAAATAAATAATTAAATATATATAAATATTAGATCGATCCAGTTGAGAGAGATATTTTGATATTATCTATATTGTTTGTCTTGTCTATTTTGAGTACGTAAATTCTTCAATCAATATTAAAATTAACGATATTAAAAAAAAACATTGTAAAGATTACTTTAAAAACTGAGATTGATTTATTCTTGTAAGAGATTAGAGTAAAGATCATAGTTAAAACTCTTCTGCAAGTTTTACAATAATTTACAATGAAAACGGAGAAATGTCATAACCGTAAAGAAATTCCAGAAACAACGTATCGCCCCGCCTCATCTCATTACGTAATAATATGTCTCGTTAAACGCATTTTAACACACAACCAACAATGAAATATATATATTATGCACACATCTATCAACATATGTATATATATATACATATATATAGTATATATATATATTAGTTTGATGATTACGTGCAAATCAATATATGTATCTATTATAATATATATATATATATTAATTACAATGTACCTAAAAATCTATCAAACGAAACGAAAGTTTTTGGAACTGCACGGCATATCAAAAAAAAAAAAAAAAAAAAAAGCAGATAATTGCGGTGCAGACGTTTGATAAATGCTAATCTTTCCAAAAATTGCCATCTCTCGTAATTGCAGGTGAAAAACCATTTCATTGTGGCTACTGTGAGAAGTCCTTCAGCGTGAAGGACTATCTCACGAAACACATACGCACACATACCGGCGAAAAGCCGTACACCTGTCCGTACTGTGACAAACGATTCACGCAACGCAGCGCCTTAACCGTGCACACAACAAAGCTGCATCCGCTCTAGGATAGGCCCAACGGTGGCCGGACCATAATAGTTGACCCAAAGAGAACCACACAGAATGTGGCCTAAAACTGGAACTGGATCGGGATCGGGAGATTGAGAGATTGAGATATCGAGATATCGAGATTGGAAGGTGGAGAGCAACTGTAATGAAAGACGTTCTTTAAAGACGACAACAATTTGGGGCGCGGATCACAAGCAACCAACGACTGGCAAATCTTCAAAGTGCTGCTAGACTCTAAATTAGAATTTTTGCTATCAAAAAATGAAAAACTTACTTATAGTAACAAATTGTACTACAACAACAATGGCGTTTTCTATTGTTAAGTTTAACGATATTTGATTTTCCTTCTTTTTTTTTATATATACATATATATATATATATATATATATTATATATAAACCTTGTCATGTCGTATAAGTCATAATTTTGTTATTCTCTGAGATTTTAATGCATATTTTATTTTGTATCGTACTCGTTAAATACTTTTTATAGCGCACACTCACACCTGCGCGCACACACACACACACCTACACACACACACATCTATATTATTTATGCATATAAAGTGAAATACCCCTTTTTATATAAAATATTATTCTATGTTTTAAACTTGTTTCAAGCTAAAACTCATGTTGACGATATTCTTTAACTACGCGCAAAACTTAAATTAATTTGTTTTATAAACATTTAAATATTACACGCACACTTAATTCGAACAAAGAAAAACACAAAAAAAAAAAACCAAACAAAACAAACCCCAAGTTATTTATTCTCATGCATTGAAAAATATGATGAATTTTTCAAAATTTTTTACTCACTTAAAACGAAACAAAAAAAAAAAAACGCTTTTGCTTAATTTGCAATACGAGCAGGATCTCGTTTGTTTGGCTTTAAATTTATTTACGATGTATAAAATTATATGGAAATTATGTTTTAAAACTAATTACAATTAATATCGTTTAGTGCTTATTCAGTTTGTTTGTTTGTTTGTTTTCCTCATAATTTAACTGCTTAACTGGTTTGTACATTCTAAATGTTAACCAAGCTGTTTTTTTTGTTTTTTTTTAATATAAATTATTTAAGTTCTTCAAGCGCATTTTCGAAACGCAAGACAAAAAAGTATTTAAGTGCAAAATTGATAAATCGAAAAGCAACAAAAATTCTATGCAAAACGCAACACAGCTTTACGCGCCAAACTAGTTTAAAAAACAACAACAAAATATACAATATATATATATATACACATATACACATACAATCTAATAACAATTTTTGATAAACTAAGCTTTTAAAAAAATGAAAACAAAAATTAAACTAAAAAGTAAAGAGTCGTAACGTAACAAGCTTATACGCATAATAATTATAATTGTTTTTGTAATATATTATAATAATTAGTTATTAAAACGAAACGAAAAGCAAATTAAAAGAAACATTTTTAATCAATTAATTTACTTGCAAGTTGTATGTACTAAACAAAACTAAAAACTAAAAACTAAAACTGTAGCAAAAAGTCAACCAAAACCAATTAAATTGTACATTTTTTTACAAAACAGATATAGTGTTATATAAATGTATAATGTACATCTAATATTACCTATATATATATATAATATATATATATATATTATAATTAATACACTCAAACAAAAAGTCTACCTAAAATGCACACACATAGGCACCAGCAACAAAACGAATGCGCAGCGCATGTAAAACCAAAATAAATTCTAAGTAATTAACTAATTATTGTAATTTTTTATTTAAGTTTTAATAAAACAAGTTGACGATCAAAAGCAACCAAGAAAAAAAAAAGAATAGAAAACCAAATGCAAAGCTCGCTTCTCTCTCTAATAAAAACTAAATCAATTGAGAAATTTTGTAAAACTGAAAGTTGTTGAGCAAAGAAATGAACGAACGATACGTACTAATAATAACTGCTAGATCCTAACTAACTAACTAACTAATTAATTAACTAACAACTACCAAAATGATGGCGAACAAAGCAAGCAAAGTGAGTAAATAGTCTTTACAAATTGTAATTAAAAGTAAATTTAAATTTAATTAATTCATAATTTGTATGTATTGAATGTAATTGCAATCTAACAAGGAAACACTTGAAATCATCTTCGAGCAATATTCAATTCAATTATATTTAAAAAAAAAAAAAAACAAAAAGCAAAGAAAAGAAGAAGAGATATATATATACATATATAGTATACTATAAATGAATAAAGGTCCGACTTGTAGAAATATTATAAGAGAAGATATTTTAATATTAATACGTTTAAGAAAATACTTACCCTAAATTGAACTTATGGAAGATTTGATCTATGTGTGTACTTAGAAATCTGATCCATACTGAAATGTTTAGTTTTGGCTATATTAGTCCGATTTATATCTATCGATATTTATACGTCAGTTCGGGAACTGTGTGTCCTACCTAACATATAAGACATCTCTCATAAGCATCGGACTTCTATATCATAAAGCTATACAGGAAAAATTACTATGGCATGTAGCTCTATGGATCAGATCTCAACAGCATCGGACTATTATATCATATAGCCCTATAGGACAAATCTTAGCAGCATCGGACTACTATATCATATAGCTCTATAGGAAAAATCGATCGAAAAGGAGTTTTTATATGGAAAATTCATGAGTCTCCTCGCATATCTTCACAACCGTAAGTCATATGTTGAATTTATTATACCATAAAGTATATATATACCATGTCCATCTGTCTGTCCGTCTATCTGTTTTTGTGCGAATTAGTCTCTCAGTTTTCAAGCTATCGTACATATGTCGAAACTGGCCGGATCGGACCACTATATCATATAGCTGCCATAGGAAAGATAGGTCGCAAATTAAATACTTGTATGGAAACTTTTTTGCTTATCAAGATATTTTACCCATACTCGGAATTTAAAAGTTTCCCCATGTTCCCTACATGTATTCAAAATCTTATCAACATCGGACCACTATATCATAGAGCTGTTATAGGGACGATCGGTTGAAAATTAAGTACTTGTATGGAAAACTTTTTTGTTTATCAAGATATCTTACCCATACTCGGAATTTAAAGGTTTCCCTATGTTCCCTACATGTATGGAAAATCTTATCAACATCGGACCTATATATGATATAGCTGCTATAGGAAAGATCGGTCGAATAGTAGGATCTTATATGGCACAATATTCGGTTTTCAAAGATATTTTCATTAAAACAGCATTTTTGAGCTGCATTATTCCAACATTTCTGCAAGGGTATTAAATCTTCGGCGTGCCGAAGATATCTTGACTTTCTCTTTAATCTGAATACTGAAAATCAAGGATAGATTTTTAATCTTCTTTCCTTACATCATTTTGAAATAAAATACAAAAGTTTAAATTTGATTTAATCATTATTTATGTTTATTAGTATCATTTTTTGTTGTCGCTCTTGTTTTTTTTTTTTTGGTTTTCTGTTTTTTGTTTCATAATTCATTTTGAAATATTTGCGTTACAATTTTTGGATTTTCGCCCTGCCCCTTACCCTAAACGGGCCTACGCGTATATCTATCTATATATATATATATTTAAATATTTATATATATATATATTTAGACAACGCAGCGCATAATGCATTTTAATTTCTATGAGACATTTGGTTTTTATTCATTATCTTTTTTTTGTTTTTGTTTTTCTTTTATTACTTTAAATTACAATGAACGAATATTATGAACACTATCACACTTGCAAAATGTTTGTTTTTTCGGTTTTTTTTTTATTACTTTTTCGACTTTGGAATTTCTTTTGCAATGAGCAACTAATTTTTTAAGTATGCCCTCCTTTTTATTATTTTCACATATATGTATATTAAATGTTTTTTTGTTATTGTAATGCTGATACACACACACATACATATATGTCAATTACATGCATTCCTATATATGTATAATTTTTATATATATATATATAGTATAATCAGTTATATATATATTTATATATAATAATGTATATGCCATTACTTCAATTTATTCATATTTTTACACAAACCTTTTTGATCAAACGCAATCAAAAAGTTGTATTTCTGTTTTAAATATTCTTTAAATGCTCAACTTGTTGCATGCTTGCGTGTGTGTGTGTGTGTGTGTGTGTGTTTGTTTTTTAACTAATTTATACATTTTCCCAACCAGAAGGTTTTCACATATCTTTGTATACCTCATGTAAATGCCTATGTACTGTATTCTGTATACTGTATGTTCTATATGAGATGGCTTTGAATCTTGTTTTGTTCTCATTTTGGACTTATTTATTCAGATAATTACGCTTTTCCTCCTTTTATCATTTTCAAAAACTTCTTATACGGCTAGCGGAGTAATACAATTCAAAATACATTTCAAATGTATTTCGTTTAATACTAGAAAAAAAGGGAAAATAAAAGTACAAAATAAAAACTAACCTGCCAAATGTTCTTATTTTTTTCATTATAAGTCATTTTTTTTTTTTATTGGAATTATATAATTGTAAATAAAACCTAACCTACAAAATTATAAAGTGAAAAGTTTGCAAATTTTTTGTTTTTTTTTTTAAATTTTCTTCTTTTGGAGTTTTGAAATCAATTTTGGATCGGGAAAAATGTTTTTATATTTTTCCAAAATAATATTTAAAACGCGTTTTGTGCGTTATTGGAATTTAAAATTAAACCTAACCTCAAAAAATTATATAAAAAAATCTGAGTTTTTTTGTTTTTTTTCTTTTGGAGTTTTGAAATCAATTTTGGATTGCGAAAAATGGTTTTATTTAACATTTTAACATTTCAAATGTATTTTATTTTTATTGGAATTACAAATCAAAACCTAACCTCAAAAAATGTAAAGTAAAAATATTGAAAATTTTTTGTTATTTTATTTTTCTTTTTTTTGGAGTTTTGAAATCAATTTCGGATTGTGAAAAATGGTTTTATTTAACATTTTAACATTTCAAATGTATTTTATTTGTATGGGAATTATAAATCAAAACCTAACCTCAAAAATTGTTAAGTAAAAATTTGGAAAATTTTCTGTTTTTTATTTTATATCTTTTGCAGTTTTGTATTCAATTTTGGATTGTGAAAATTGCTTATTTTTTTTTTAGCTACTTGACTATTATTCATAAGTATTAGCTACTTACTAACATTCTGAACGTTCGTTAACTTCCGCCCCGCCCCCAACTCTCTCCTGAACTATTTGTAAAATTATACAACAATGTTTGTTAATTTTTTTTATTAATTTTTGTTTTTCTGTTCGCTCTGTCAGAAAGTTAACAAGTGCCTCGCTTTGGTATTTTGTGGCTTTGCTCCTCTCACAATGTACGAGTATATTAAATGGCGCATACTTCAGATATGCATACATATATAAATCAATATATATTTGTATAGTATATATATATATAAGTATATACAAATATTCGCTATACGCTGATTAGTTGCTGTGGTTTTACAATATTAATTATTTATATATAAGTATATATAAAGTACATACATAGTTTAAAGTCTAGGCGTCGATTGTGTAAGTAGTTAGTTATGCGGAAGGGGCTGACTGGAGGGGGAGGTGGAGTAGAGGTGGGGGGGGGGAGTGGAATTTCTAGTATGTTTTATAAGTAAGTATTGCCTATAAGCTCAAATTTACAACTGATTTACGACCATTAGGAATTGTCTTTAGAGTTTTCTTTAACATATTTGATTCATTTTTATTGCGGTTACAAATCAAAGGCAAATTATTTAAGTTGTAAGTATTTTCTTAGTTACTTTCGAGGAACTCAGTTAAGATATTCAAACAAAGAGAAAACAGTGTTAGATAACATATTTGCTGCAACAGTTTTAACGTTTACCTACACAGGTGGGCTCTGTTATTCATTTTTCAACTCTTTGATTTTCTTCTACGCTTTTGCTCTTGTCACAATCAAAAAAAAAAAAAAAACTTAAACCACACGCACAAAAAACAGCTCTCAAAAATTTATCAAAATTGTACAAAATTTTCATATCTCTTTCGAATTGTTGTTGTTACTCAACACTGTTCTATGCACAACGCATATTTTCTTGTTGTTGCTCAACACTGCTTCATGACAGCTTTGTTAAAATAAAGTAATGTTTTTTATTGTTTCCTATATATGTATATATATTTATATTTATATTTATATTTATATATATTTGTTATTTTTAACATTTGCTCATTCTCATTGCAAAAATTAAAGTAATTCTTTTATTGTTTGTGTTGTTGCGCTATTTGTTATAATGCTGCACCTAATTCTCAGTTACATACATTCACGTACATATATCTATATGTATATATACCGTATATCTAGTTTGCTTGAGTTATATACAGTATGGCCGCATAGTTTGAACTTCCTACTTGGAGTGCGAGACAACGGAGTGGGAGACCATGGAATGGGATAGCATTGAATGCGATATGCCCGATATTTCGGCATAGGTATCTGTCGGTCCCTCCGCACTGCAGACTGAATCCTCGGGCGTGCGCGACGGTTCCGCTTCGGTTATTTCAATATCCTGATGATGTTTATTGCTGCGATGTTTGGCACTTAAAGCCTGCGAAAGGTTTTGCTTCATATTATTCATGGGGCTTGTCTAACAATTCAGCAGTGTTAATTTAGTGCATTTGTTAGTTTTAGTTTTAATTAATGGGGTTTTTCTTTTTAAGTTTTAGCTTAGATACATGAAGTGCTATGGTGTACATGCATTTTTGGGAAACACTGTAGACAGAGACAGTCGACTCAAAGGACTTGGTACAATTATTGATTTATTTTAGAAAGCTTTGGCCTGCATGCTAAGTTGTTGTCAAAGATTTAACGATATGTTTCGTTGAGTTTAGGCGCTTTTTAGGTTATGCACAACACAAAGTTAGGTTAGTTTTTGCGGTTTTAGGTTTCGTTTTTTTAGGTTAGCTTTACGTGTTATGTAACAGTGAGAGAGTCTGACGTTGCTTACCTTATCTTTGCTGCCCTTTTTCTACATTTAGAGTGTTTTTTTTGGTTTGTTTTTTTTTTTTGGTTTTTGTTGGTGGGTTTGAGTTTTTTTTTTTTTGTTTTTTTTCATAATATTGTACAAGTCATGACAAGAACAATGATATATATATATAGATATATTTCATATTAATACTTATATATTGACACAGAAAGAGTTTACAAGTGGAAATGGAGTTAAAAAAGAGTGTGTGAGAGAGAGGAAAGAGAGAGCGAAAGAGAGCGAGAAAGAGAGTGGGGTGGGGAGCTTGGGCTTGGGCTTGGGCTTGGGCTTGGGCTCTGGGAATTTGGTTTGAGTTGAAAGAGTTTTAAAAACATTGAGACAACTTTTGGCTTTTGCGTTTGGAAGTAAGACTTTCGTTTCACTTGGCCATGGTGGAAATGTATTTTACAGTGAAGACCCTGACTTGACGGCCAGTCGATCTTCAGTCACTTACTTGCAATGAGAAGCGACGATGACCCGCCTTGCGGCCGCCGCGCCTTTTGCTAATATGCGGATTATCCTGACGCAGCGTCTTGTTCTTCAGTATCTCCAGTTGTGTGTACAGTCTGCCGAAAAACGACAATCAAAATGGGGCCATAAAATGATCATCAAATGATCAACATGATCAGTTTGGTAAATTCGGGTTGTCACCTTTTGAGTTCGGCACGTATATCCTCGGGACTCATTTCGGATATGGTCAGCTCACCGATGTCGGGATCGCCCAGGCACAGGCCCGCATAGCCGCCGCCCAGTCGCTGGCCGGCATCGTGTGACGTACCCTTGAAAGCATCCACAGGTAAACGCATTGATAGATCATACGCAAGCGAACGAACCTGCAAGCTATGAAGATGCAACAAACACCGCAAAAAACACAAGCACACACACACACACACACACACACTCAGCACCGTACAAGAACGGATACGGAAACGAAAACGAAAACAGTAACGGAAAAGCCAACGCATAACGGTTAAACAGTCGAACGGAAATGCCAAAGGTAACGGAAACTCAACAGAGAGAGAGCGTAAAGGTAAAACGAAAAACAAAAAAACATATAAAACATAATATAAACAGAATCGTAAAAATTGGAAAAGTATAGAAGAGAAATCAGTGCGCTTTGTGTCAATTGTGTATTGAATTTTGATGGGCATTTACACTCAGAGAAAAAGTATGGTACTTATAAAGTTTTTTGCGTACAAATTACAAGACATTTCATTCTGCGGGATTTATTTTTTAAATATGAGTAAAAAATAAGACAAAAAACGCTTGAATTTAGCGCTTGTAGAATCCATTTTACAAGCTTAAATTAAGCGCACTTTTTCTTAATGAAAGAACAAAAGATCTTAAGTTCAAATATTTAGCGCTTTTTACTTATAAGAATCTACTTTACACGCTTAAATGAAGCGCATTTTTTCTTAATGAAAGAACAAAAGATCTTAAGTTCAACTATATTAATTTTGTTTATAGAAATTTCCAGCTTAAATGAAGCTAATTGTTTCTTAATGAAAGAACAAAAGATCTTAAGTTCAAAGATATTTTGTTTTTAGAAATTTTAGGCTCAAATGAAGCTAATTTTATTTAATGAAAGAACAAAAGATCTTAAGTTCAACTATTTTAATTTTGTTTTTAGAAATTTCAGTCTTAAATGAAGCTAATTGTTTCTTAATGAAAGAACAAAAGATCTTAAGTTCAACTATATTAATTTTGTTTATAGAAATTTCAAGCTTAAATGAAGCTAATTTTATTTAATGAAAGAACAAGAGATCTTAAGTTCAACTATATTAATTTTGTTTAATTGTTCTTAATTTTTTCTCAATTTAGTTGAAAGTTAAATAAATTTCAAACTCTGATTTTAACTCAATTTTTTCTCTGAGTGTATATTATGGCTTTTAGATTAGTGTTTAATTTTTTGTTTTTTATAAATGTGTATTTGTTGGGGAATGGGCGTGGTCGTGGGCGTGATTATGTCTCTTGTGGTGCTGTAAATGAGATAAACATAGGTCAAAATCTGAACATAATTAACGACGACTAAACGTTATATTCGGGCTGCGGCTAAGCTACTTGGGTTAGAGAGAGTTAGGGAGGCACACAGAGAGACAGTTAGAGAGGCAGACAGAGAGACAGAGAGAGAGGCAGAGAGAGGCATATATATGTATATATATTGATATAGTGTATGTAGAAGAAGAAAATACTCTATAGTTTTGGTATGCATGTTGGGTATTAAAAGGAAACCGATTTTTGTCATTCTACTTGTAGCTGTTGTGTTCAAGAAATGCATGCAAATACACACAACAAAAATGTTCATGCGGCCAGTGTTGGTTAACGTTTGCTATAGATTAAAAAACCAAAAAAGTACAGTTGTGCAACTGAAAGTTTTGTGGCTTGCATATGAGTAAAATGAGTTGAACACAAAATTAATAAATGGAAATCGAAATACATACAGTAAACATTCTGGTACAGTAAAATGACACTTGCAGCAACTTCATAGCTTGACTAAAATTCATGAATTATGTTAGCTTAAATACTAAAATTGTTTGTACTCCAACAAAAAACCAATAACCATAAGAATTCAACTCGACAAATGAAAAAAAATAGTTGTATCAAATAAATTTGTTTTCCAGCAAAAAGCTTTCTGCGGCGTTTCTCAAATTCGTTTTTTTGGTTTCTACAAAAATCGTTTCCTCAACCAAATGTCAATACCAAAATACAAAGACGAGAGTACGATTTACGATATATTTTTACTCGACGATGACTGTGCGGACAAATGAGCACAAATTGAGCCTACGTCGGGTTTATCTCAACTATAATGTATATGGCATACGGCGGAATTATCTGAACTTTCTAGTATATGTTGTATATATGGTAAATATGTATTTAGCACTCGAACAAACTTTGGACGCACTTGTTTATTTTTCTTTTCTTTTCTCTCTTGTTAGCGATAAATAAATCTGAATGTTAAACCAAATGTTAATTGAAAATGATGAAAATCATAAGGAAAAACTCAAGCTCGGACAATAATCATGAACAATTCGTTGTTACCTGCTTGTGTTGATACCACAATTTTGGCACAAATATCAAACCGAGGGCGAAGCTATTTGTCAGCTGCGAGCGCACAAAAAGCGCCAACAAAATGGCGCTGGGACTCATTTCCGGCAAATAGACGAAGCGCAGAAAATAGAAACTGGATGACACCAGAAACTCCAGCGTCAACGTTGTAACCAGAAATTGACGCTCCTGCAAAGGGTAAGAAACGCAAAATTTTAATGCAAATTGTTAGATGGAAAGTTGATATTTGTGAGTACATCAAATAAGAAACAAAAAAACTGTTTTGCAACACTACCAAATACAGTTACCTATTTTTTAATACAAATATTAAAGAAAAGTTGTGAACTTGACTATGGAGAGTAATTTCCCAATAACTTATATATTTATTGTCCGATCGATATGGAACTTTGAAGCAAAGCCTTTCAAAAATCATAGAAAATCAAGGGATCAAAATCTAGATAATCCCTCTTCTAGTATATAGAAAAAGTGAAATAATTTGAGACAATCCACAGAATCCGTTATATTTATTCCTAGGGTATAAAAAACATAAACTATTTTAAAAGACTCAAGCTATTCTTTTTTTAAACTTGTAATTTTTTGAAGGTAATCGGATCTTTGAAAGTTAGATTCTTGGACTCGGATCTGAATTTAGACAATTTTTTAACAAAATTTTCCCTTTTGAAAATGCCAAAATGGTTTCGATTTTTAATTTTAAGGCGGGCTGAACTGGAAATCGATATTTATCGGTTTTGAAACCATGGGGAGAATTATAAAAATAAAATAAAAAACTTCTTCTGTGTATGATATACAAAAACGTACATTCCATTCAAATATAAAATCTACAACTGTTTAAATTTACAATCAAGAAACTGCCTGTAAATTGATATTTATCGAATTTTAGTAAATGGATTAAACCGAATCTTAATTTTGAAAGCCTTGAATCGGAGATGTGCGCTAAAAAGAGCCTTTAAATCGATATTTATCGATTTAGAAATAATATGGAAATGTTTTTGAATAGAACGAAACAAAATGTTCTGCGAGTTACAAAAAATTCTCTGAATTATACAACAATATTAATCCTTAAGATAAACTCAGAAAACTTGAAATTAATATTTATCGATGTTCGTCAAAAAGCGGGACTTATCGAAATTAATTTCTTATTATAAACTGGCATAGAGAAGGGGCCTGCTCACCCGAAACTGTGTGTTGGCATTGCGACTGGCAATGGCCAGATGGAGGCCAAAGCAGAGTATGAGCATCTCGCTGGTCTGCGTCACCAGCTCCCATTTGAGGGGATGGCAAGTGTTGGTGCTGGCCTCACGCAGACTCTCCAGCTGGGCGCTCTCGAGCAGGTCCAGCGACGAGGCCGTAAATGCGGACATATAACAGATGACGGCAAACACCATGGTGCCCAGATACTTGAGCAGATCGACGTCGCGCAGCACCCAGCGATGCGCCTTCCTGGTGCGAAAGTCGACCAGATGTCGATAGAGCTTCAATATGATCGCACCATAGCAGGTAATAAAGCCAATTTCGCGCAGCCAGGGCTCCAGCAGGCAGCGCTCCGTGGAGGCGGGAAAGAAATGGACGGCAACCTAAAATGGAACATGCCATTAAAGTCAAAGTCAGGCGAAATCCGGAGCTGCAATTGACGCACCGATGCATAAAGTAAAACAATGCCCAGCAGAATGGTCTCCAGCACGGTCCACATGCCCGAGGCAATGGCCTAAAAAGCAGATTGAACATTTAAATATGGCTTTAATCAATTTATTTGTAGCTGGTTTGGTTTTCGCACCTTGCACTTGCGCTGCCGGAAGACAATCACGCTGAGCACCACGCAGCAGAGAATGCAGGCGGCCAGGACAATGGCCACCAGCAGACGCAGACAGGCATCTATGTTGAGAGCATCCTCCTCCTGAAAGCCGGAAAGGCAAATGCCATGCATATCGCAATTGCTGCAGCCACCCGGACAGGGCAGACACGAATAGTTGTCGTAGCCCTCGGATAGCTCCACCAGATCACCGGGAAAACCCTGCAGCGACGCATTCGGCAGGTAATAGGATTCGCGGCACAGGCACGTGTAGACATCACGCGTGGCCGGCGGCTTCGTTTCGGTCAGCAGGCAAAATGTCGTATTCCGATCGCAGCTGCAACAGATCAAAACTCAGTTAATCTTTATTTCTTTATTTAGTTAGTTTGTTTTAGTGGAATTTACCCGTGACGCCGTCCGAAGACCTCCTCCAGACCGTCGTTGCACACATCCTCGTCGGCGGCTATAAATGCAGCGGCAACAATTCTGTGAAGGTTCAATTTTAAATAGGTTTTAATAATATTTTTTATATTTATTAGCCTCAGGTATTACCCGTTATTTCCCGACCTGTACTCTTTTTCTCTAAATTTTAGCTAAAACTTTCCACTTATTTTCCACCCATTTTTGTGTGTTGTCAAAAAAATCAATGTCAGCAGTTTTTCACCCATTTTCCGACAGTGGAAGTGAATTTGTGTAAAACACGCCTGCCTTAAATTCTCACAGGGATCTTTAGAAATGAGTTAGGCGAATCGCACGCTCAAAATTTTTATCAAGCGCCTTTTCACCAACATTTCACGCTTGTAGGTGAAATTGACCAAAACCCCGTCTATGCGTGAATTCATATCACAAGAAAAAACTGCTGTGGAAATTTCAGTCATAAATTCTCACCGAGATTTTTAAAAAAGGAAAAGCACACGCACAATTTTTATCAATCGCGATTCCACAAATTTTCCACGCTTGTAGGTGAAATTGACCAAAACCCCGTCTATGCGTGAATTCATATCACAAGAAAAAACTGCTGTGGAAATTTCGGTCATAAATTCTCACCGAGATTTTTAAAAAAGGAAAAGCACACGCACAATTTGTATCAATCGCGATTCCACCAATTTTCCACGCTTGTAGGTGAAATTAACCAAAACCCCGTCTATGCGTGAATTCATATCACACGAAAAAACTGCTGTGTAAATTTCAGCTTACTAGCTCAGTCAATCAATCAGTCAGTCAGAATGTGTAAAAGGTTTTATTTAATTAAATAGATATTTAACTAAAATAATAACTCACTTGATTCGGTGCTCGGTGAATGATATGCGAAATGGCCACAGCCAGCGCCCCGTCAAAAGGTTGCAGTCACGAAAGGGCGCGCCCCACTCCTTGGTGCCATCGCTGCTGTTCCAGGCGGCCCTATGAGCATTTTCGATAGGATCAAATCAATTAGCGAACTGTCAGCTGCACGCAAACACAAGCTATAGCTATTTAATAATATCATATACGATGCGATCCACTGGGAAATCAAACATTTAGGTCTTTTAATCAAAAAAATGAGTATTCTATGTTAGTTAAAACTTGTTTTTAGATTCTCTCGCGACTCAAATTGAGCTTATGAACTTTATGGCTTATGTGAAATATAACGAAAAATACAAAAAAGTATTTTAACGTAATCCATTAAAAATTAAAGTATATCAATAAGCCCAATTAGTATTTTAAGTTACTTGAAACTTATTTTAAGATGCATTCAAATCTTAAATAAGCTCGAGAATTCTATTGTTTAAGCAAAACAAAAGGAAACTAAAATTATTTCAATTTCATACTTTTTTTAAAGATATAAAATGAGATCTTTCGCTGAGCTATGAGAAATTTAAAATTGAAACTTATTTTAAGATTTTTTTTCAGAAAAAAAAAAACAAATAAGATTTTTATAGACAAAACTAAAAGTAGAAAGAAAGGTTTTATATTGTTTCTATGTATTTAAACTAAAATGTTTTTTTAAGATTTTTTCAAGACAACAAATTTTATTTCCCAGTAAAATGAATAAGTTATTAAACGAATATCTTAACAAATATTTTATAATTATTTTTTAAATATAAAGATTGTACATAATTATTTTTATAATTCTTGGACTCAATTCTAGTATCTGGAACTCACCCCAATTCCCGCCAATAGGAGCCCAAGTAAGCCTTATTATGCACCTGATTCGGTGGTATCTGAAAATGAAATAATACCAATAGCCATTAAGAGTCCATAAGCTAAAATGTTATTTGTTCATTTGTCGTGGTCCGGAACTGACCGTCACATTGTCCCTGAATTTGACAACAACTGTGTGTATGCTGGGCGCCGCGATGGCAAAGGCCAACAGATTGTCATCCTCGTTGAGGGCATTGCTGGCAATGCCATTGGCCCGCCGGCTCACCTCCGCCCGGGTCGGCTCATCTATGGCAATGGGCGTGTTGGCATTTGGAAATTTATTCGATAGGAATTCAGTAAATTCGCGTGCAGCGACCTCGGCAATCTCGGTGAAGTCGTAATACTGTAAATTCAAGCAAAAACAAAATGTTAATTATTTTGATTTGAATTCAAAGTGAAATCAGGGAAAACCATAATAGTATGTTAAAAGATCTTTCACAATTTTCGCAAAATCCACCTCGCTTGGTGGATAAATGCGGGTCAATGGGTTAAAGAACGAAAGTTTTTTTTTGGCTTAAAGATTCTCTCCACAAGACTAACATGGGCATAAATAATTCATTCTAACTTGAGTTAGTATGTATGTTTGTATGTATGTTTTATATGTATGTATATATGTATGTGAGCATGCATGTCTGTATGTATGTATGTATGAATGTGCATATATATGCAAGCATGTATGAATGAATGAATATATGAATGCATTAATGAGTGTGTGAATGTGTGTATGTAATTATGTATGTATGTATGTATGTGTGTGTGAATGAGTATGTGTATGTGTGTGCGTGTATGTATAAATGTATGTACGTATATATGTGTGTATGTATGTTTGCATGCAAGTTGTCTTCTATAGCAATAGCAGACCAATTTGTCTTGTTGCGCGGCAAATTTAAATATTTATTAAAGCTGCCCTTCTCCTCGATTCTCAAAAATTTAAGTAAGGCTTGCAGGCTTCACCAATGGATTAGTCGCGGGCGGCTTCAACGCTGGAAGCTGAGGAGCCGAAGGAGGAGGAGCACCAAGGGGCGGAGCAGGAGGCGTAGGTATGTACATAGGTATGTATGTATGTAGGTATGTACATAGGTATGTATGTATGTAGGTATGTACATAGGTATGTATGTATGTAGGTATGTACATAGGTATGTATGTATGTAGGTATGTACATAGGTATGTATGTATGTAGGTATGTACATAGGTATGTATGTATGTAGGTATGTACATAGGTATGTATGTATGTATGTATGTATGTACATAGGTATGTAGGTATGTATTTATGTATGTATGTATGTATGTATGTATGTATGTATGTATGTATGTATGTATGTATGTATGTATGTATGTATGTATGTATGTATGTATGTATGTATGTATGTATGTATGTATGTATGTATGTATGTATGTATGTATGTATGTATGTATGTATGTATGTATGTATGTATGTATGTATGTATGTATGTATGTATGTATGTATGTATGTATGTATGTATGTATGCATGTATGTATGTGTGTGTGTGTGTGTATGTATGCATGTACGTATGTATGTATGTACGTATGTATGTACGTATGTATGTATGTATGTATGTATGTATGTATGTATGTATGTATGTATGTATGTATGTATGAGTGTATGTATGTATGTATGTATGTATGTATGTAGGTATGTATGTATGTATGTATGTATGTATGTATGTATGTATGTATGTGTGTGTGTGTGTTTATATTTATGTACGTATTAATGTTTGGACGTATGTATGTGTATATGTGTTAGCCCCTAGCTGCGCTGCAAATTTAAAAAAAAACGTTTAAACTAATGCCCTACTACGCGATTCTCATAAATTCAAGTAAGTCTCAAGTATTGGAGGAGATGGCAGCTTCAACTATGCAGGAGGCAGGACATCTATATAAAATATACTATGAAGGAGGCGTCCGCTTTAATATTGGAGAAGGCGGATTCACCTATAGCAAAGGCAGTGGCATTCATTATAAACTGGTACGTATTATAAACATAACTATGTCTTAATTTATTTTAAATAAAATACAATTATTACAATCGTATGAATGCATTTTTTTTTTTTTGTATAAATATTGCTCTACTATGCGATTCTCACTAATTCAAGTAAGGTTCTGCAGGTTAGTTGCGTTTTTGAGATAATAAACATTATCTCTGCTTTTATTTATTTTCAGGGATGTGTTCATATAAAAATTCGTCTCCCTCCTACTAATCGATGACAACAACAAAAAAATGTTCGTGCATATTTACAGGTGAGTACGTTATTACAAACATTTATTTACACTAGCGGGTTAGCCCCGGCCTTGCCCATGTTACTTATAAAATCAATTCTCTCCAAGATCTTTGAAAAAGAAAATAAGACTATTCATAAAATTATGTATGTAGAGCTTTGAAAATAAGTTTAAAGCAAATCGGACAAAACCTACACACAAGAATAAAGTTGCCATGTTTATATGCCAAATTGATTAACAGGCCAAACCACGAACAAAAAGCCAAACCTTATGAAAAGCAGATAAGATTTCACCGAGTTACGGGGGTGGTAAATTTTAACCAATGTCTTTATAGGATATTTGAGGGAACCATTTTCACATGAATTTCGACCAAAAATAATGTTGCCAGATTTTGATGCCAAATTTATCTAGAGGCAAAAAAATGAACAAAGAACCAAATCTCGTGAAAATCGGATGAGATTTGACTGAGTTATGGGGGTGGGAAATTTGGACCTATGTCTATATAGGATATTTGAGGGAACCATTTTCACATGAATTTCGACCAAAAATAATGTTGCCAGATTTTGATGCCAAATTTATCTAGAGGCCAAACCATGAACAAAAAGCCAAACCTTATGAAAATCGGATGAGATTTGACCAAGTTATGGGTGTGGGAAATTTGGACCTATGTCTATATAGGATATTTGAGGGAACCATTTTCACATGAATTTCGACCAAAAATAATGTTGCCAGATTTTGATGCCAAATTTATCTAGAGGACAAACCATGAACAAAAAGCCAAACCTCGTGAAGATCGGATGAGATTTGACCGAGTTATGGGGGTGGGAAATTTTGACCTATGTCTATATAGGATATTTGAGGGAACCATTTTCACATGAATTTCGACCAAAAATAATGTTGCCAGATTTTGATGCCTAATTTATCTAGAGGCCAAACCATGAACAAAAAGCCAAACCTCGTGAAAATAGGATGAGATTTGACCAAGTTATGGGTGTGGGAAATTTTGACCTATGTCTATGTAGGATATTTGAGGGAACCATTTTCACATGAATTTCGACCAAAAATAATGTTGCCAGATTTTGATGCCAAATTTATCTAGAGGCTAAGCCATGAAGAAAAAGCCAAACCTCATGAAAATCGGGTGAGATTTGACCGAGTTATGGGGGTGGGAAATTTTGACCTATGTCTATATAGGATATTTGAGGGAACCATTTTCACATGAATTCCGACCAAAAATAATGTTGCCAGATTTTGATGCCAAATTTATCTAGAGGCCAAATCATGAACAAAAAACCAAACCTCGTGAAAATCGGATGAGATTTGACCGAGTTATGGGGGTGGGAAATTTGGACCTATGTCTATGTAGGATATTTGAGGGAACCATTTTCACATGAATTTCGACCAAAAATAATGTTGCCAGATTTTGATGCCAAATTTATCTAGAGGCCAAACCATGAACAAAAAGCCAAACCTTATGAAAATCGGATGAGATTTGACCAAGTTATGGGGGTGGGAAATTTGGACCTATGTCTATGTAGGATATTTGAGGGAACCATTTTCACATGAATTTCGACCAAAAATAATGTTGCCAGACTTTGATGCCTAATTTATCTAGAGGCCAAACCATGAACAAAAAGCCAAACCTCGTGAAAATCGGATGAGATTTGACCGAGTTATGGGGGTGGGAAATTTTGACCCGTGTCCGAATAGGATAAATATCTAGTAAAATCGTTACGAATATTAGTACAAAGAAGAACAACCAAAGGCTGCCAATTGCCTTGGAGCAGTAACTTTAACTGAAAACCGGTTGGCAAATAAAACAAGCAACATGTCAGTGAAACGTTCACGAATAGAGTCCAAAGAATAATATAAAAAATGCACAATCCATCGAATATGTACACACACACACTCCAAAAAGCACACACAAAAAAGGAAGTAGCTTGTAATCCGAGCTGGTAATATGATAAGCTGAGCACACAAGACTCTCGAGACTTGTAAAACATATTTACATTAGAAGAAGGCACACACCTTGGCTGAGCCTGAATATGAAATGTAACCCCAAATATACGGAGGAGGGGGGGAAGGGCGACATAATTGGTGTGAACGCGAAGAAAATTGAGGATACGTAAATAAGATGACCCCAGCTGGAATCTCGCCATGCCACTTGGCTGTGACCCGTGTGTTGTAGCTATTAATTATTCACATGACGCACGCTTTTTGCCCGGGCTCTGTAAAAGTTGTGTGTGAGTGTGTGTGTGTGTGTGTGGAAAATAATACGATTTAATGTCCAAGCAGCGCAACAAAATGCCACTAATGCCATGTGACTATGTGAATGTGGCCCTTGCCTGGCTAGATGCGTCGAGGATACGCGCCGGATACGCTGTCGAGGAGCAGCAGCAAGCTCTGATGACATCATTATGCCTTTTGGAAACAAAAGGTAACCGCAGCACGTGGTGGAAAGCGGCAAGCGGGGGCTAAAGGGGCGGCTAGTGGCTGTCAAATGTATGTGTATGTGCGTGTGTGCGTGTGTGTGTGGGTGAGTCACCTTTGGCTTTTCAAACAAATATTTCCCATTAGCAATGCTCGACGCGCTGGAGGGGCGACCACATTGCGTATACGTTATGTGTGTGCCAGATGAAAAGCCAAATGAATTATTAACAAGAAACAAACATATTTGTACACAAATAACCTACACACACACACACACACGCACACACACTCGCGTCGGGGGTTGGATTCGTTGGGGCGTGTTGCGGTCTCCGTCAAAGAAACAAACAACAACAAAAATCGTTGAAACACTTGTAAATAGCAAAAACCACAAAACAGAAGCGATTGTGCAATAAAACATGCATACATTTGCAGGCACACACACACGCACACACACAGACAACACATGTAAATAAAGCCAGCAACTATGCCAAGTGTTGTGCCACACACACACGCATACACACACACGCACACACACACCCCTCCGCACAAGCAGTTGAAATGAAATCCGTAAAGCGCGTTTTACTGGCTTTTTAATGTCTCATGCCTCGACATCTCGTCGTCGCGCACTCGGATATGCCGGCATTTCGCATATAGTATGTATGTAATTACACACAC